ACAAAAATACAGACAGGATACCCAACATTCTTTTTAAGGTTATGCAAATCACTTCGAGCGAATACACAGTGTCCCTACTCCTCATAGCGGGTAACCAAAACAATGTATGCAACGAATGAGTGGTTAGTTTGGTGAGGTTGTCTCCGCCGTCTTTTGATAGTTTTCCGCTGTGCTGCTACTTTGGCTTGCAGATGTTTAATGGTTTGCTTGTACTTCATTGATGGAGACATTGTCGCTGGCACACAGGAACGCACTGCAATAAACAAAAATGGATGTAAAAGCGAAGAACAACTAATCCCATACGAGCACTTTCCTCGCTCTTTCAGACCCAAGGTGCACAACTTTCGGTAGTGCAAAGTTTTCGATTCCACTACCTAAAAACAAACCATTCACAATGTTGACAATGCACAAAAAAAAATGAAAATCACTGAGAGCCTACCCTTACATTTTGTAAGTGCACACGTAGTGTCCTTTCGAGGATAGTTTCCTCAGAATGTCCTAAACATAAAATAGCACATTAAAAACAGCTGCAATAAAAGCATAGTCACCATTTTCTCTAGGGCACTCAGACGTGGAGCTGTTGGCGCAGACATCTTCTGGAGGGTCTTGTGAAGCTTGTTCAGTGCCTCGGACAGTGCTGTCGGAACAACCTTGCGAGCGGCCTGCGGAAGTCTCAATATCAATCCACTCTGGTGTTGAAGTGAACATACAACTTACCGGTCACACAAGTTCCTTTTGTGACAGCTGAACGACTGGTTAAGGTTTTCTCCGGCAAGACGAAGTCAGCAGAAATTCTTTTCACCAGCTACAAGGGAGCTGCCACCTGCAGAGGTTTGGTCAACAGTCAATTTGGGTAAAAAAAAAAAAAGAAATCGCGACACTGAACGCACCCTGTTCATCGGGGCAATGGAGGCGGAAATGTCGTAGGCCCGTGTGCTCAGATTTGGGTGCACGTTAAAGAACCCCAGGTGGTCAAAATTTCCGGAGCCCTCCACTACGGCGTCTCTCATAATCATATGGTGGTTTTGGGACGTTAAACCTCACAAATCAATCAATCAATCATCGGGGCATCTCAATGTGTGGGAGCCGCTTTTTGAAGCCTCTACCGCAGGTCCTGAAGAAATGAAATTACGACATTGTGTCAGTAATAGGCTTAAAATAACACAAACTGAAGCTCATCCGCACCTTGCAGTGCAGCTTCTGCAGTCATGTCACAGTCACTATTTGAAGCGACGCTCAGAAAATCTGCATATACGTGCAGTTGGTACAAGTTACAAAGCTTGTAGCATGGGGAAACTTAAACAACTCTTTCAAACACATAAATTGGTAGAACGTGGAAGAAAAGAGAAGGCACCAACAAGGAAACAAGTAATTTGTGATTTTTGGAATTATCAACAGTGCCAGCTTTCACTGATGGAAGGTACAGATGCTCGCGTCCGAGGCAGACGCAGCACGCGTCGCCTCGGCTTGACGCCGTGCCGCCTATGCTATACTGCATACGTTGCACAGTGTTCCCGTCTAGCCGCCGCATAGAGCCGCAAACTTTCTTTTTAGCGAACCTCCCCGTCCTTACAAGCTACAAAAAAAGGTTACAACTGCGTGAATGAGACGCCACGTAAGAAACAAACTCGCACACACGAAGCACAATGTGTGTGTGTGCATCTTTCTATGTTTGTTGCATGGTGTCTTATTCGCACAGGTGTAATCGTTTTCTGAAAAAAATGACCGAACAAGACCAACAACATGTCATTCAACAAGCTTCGCTTGAAAACGTGCCTCACCTGTTATCTCACGCTTGAAAACGCCGACGCAGCCGACGTTGACGAAAGCGACGAAAGCTTCTCGCTGTCAGTCATGCATGGGCACGGAGGAAGGAAAAAGGTAAGGAGAGGGCATGCCCAGCCGGCGCAGGGCGTAAAAAATGTGGTGGAAATGACATCATGGCGGCCATAGTCAGTAGGCACAATGGCGGCGTTGTTATGGTTACGTGTTGCGCAGTGAAGCTGGTCTAGCAATGAGCGGCCGCGGCTGGCGGCGGAATGTGTGCCTCCCCAGGTCTCGTGCTGAGCCGTGGCGAACAATATCTGTGCTCTGCGCCGCGTTAATGGTTACGCAGTGTTCGTCTGGCTATTACATTACTCTTAGCAACGTTTACAAATCTCTTTGTCCATCACGGGGTTTCAACAGTGCGTAGAACAAGTGCATATCCATGTGTCGTGCGGCGGATGACGCGGATGAAGCAGTTAGTGTTCAGCGAAATGGCGTTGGGCACCATGACGAAGCTGAATGACGACGAACACCTTGCAGGCCAGTGACGGTTGAGCAGTGCTCCTGCTTGTGACAACGGACGACGCTGTTGAGCCCAGCAAGACGCCGTGAGGACCATGTGCACATACGTAGTTTCGTGTTGTGTGTGTACAGTAACAACTTGCATGTGCGTATTAAAACACCTTTTCTGTTCCGCTTGGTACACTCTCCACCAGCATTGCATGTAATCTCAACGTAACAGCAACCACGTTCAACTGTCACTAGCACCGTGCTCAAAGTCACCACGGTCGCAGAATGCTGACGCAGGTGAGTTTCACGCGGAACACGGACACAGTGGCAGGACGCTGCGTCAGTCGCGTGGCGGAATGCAACCGTAGAAGACGCACGACCGATCGTGTTGTCTGTACAGTTGCTGAATTAATGACGTGAAAGCACTCGCCGTTGTCAGTGCATCTAGCGCGCGTTCTTTCGTAGTTGCTTCGTTGTCAGCGAGCTACTCTTTGTTATTACTCGGACGAAGCGATTTCGCTGAAGGTGTCCGGCTGGCTCGGAGTGATGAGCCCCGTTCCATTAGTTTCGGATCGTCACGACACACGCGCTGCGCCGCCCACGTGCTTTCCGAGCCAGAGAGGGAGTCGCGCCTTCTGCTTCGCATTCATATGTAAACAAGAGAGGAGAATTTGCCTACTCAATATGGCCAACTTCCAGCTTTATCGCGGCTTCACAACGAGTGACGTCAGGGCCTCTCCTTACCTTTTCCTTCCTCCGTGTGCATGGGTACAGTGTACTAGAAGAGGGCAGTGGGCTTACTCCGCAGTGGGCTTACTCCTCTGACGCAGTTGGTGTCGCATAGGAGAGGTGGCGCCACAGGCATCTTCGATGGAAGCTTCGCCTGCAGAAGCTGCTCGCCGCTGGCCGCTCGTACGAGTTGCGACGCGCGTTTCTTCGATATTTATAATAAACTTGCTTGTATTAACTTCCCTTTGACTGTACTGAGAGCGTATGTTGCTCTCGGTTCGCCATTATTTCCTTTTTTTTGCGATAGATTTGCCGAAAGTCAGTCCGATGGCAGCTTATGCAGATATGCTTGCTCCTTTCTAGTGCGACGCAGTTAATGCTTTTTTTTTTCTTGGGGGCGGGGGAGCTTGAGTTCTTTGCACATTTTGACAAGCACTACATTTGTGCAGGCCACATCGTATTTTCCCCGATATAACACCTCGCTCGCTTCCTAGCCGAGCTTTAACATGCAGGCGTGCTGGCTGAGTTTGTGCCTTTGCTATGATGAAATGAAATTGTAGCTGAAATATCTTTTGTTCTAATTCGGTTGTTGCACATGGCACAGTAGTTTTCTCGGGGTTTTTAATAACTATAATTACGCAGTTACACATCTGTTAGGCCTATGTACAAGCTTCTGTTCTGGACATGAAGCTCTTATTTTCAAAACTGAAGCACAATATTCAACCACTGATTTACACACTTTATTCACTTCATGTGCAACGGCTTAGCTTCAGCTGCTTGGCCCTCTGCCGCTTTCCTCCTTTGTCACTGTTCAGTCCTTTCACATAAAAATGAAGACGTGTGACAACGTAAAAACTAATTACTTTCGCTGTGAGAGTAGCTGCATGCACACTGCAACCAATTTCGATGGAAAGTCTGTGCTGAACAACTGCCAGCATGTCCATAATGCTGTCAGAGTGCAGCTCGCTCTGGCAGAAACAATCTGTGAAGATATCTTCGAGCTTTTTCACAAAGCCGTACAGCTGACTAGAGGGATGGAGGAGGCCTCCTCGGTATCCTCGGTCACAATAGTTTGTTAGCCGAGCAAGCTGAAAACTTTCACCAGGTGAGGTCACGGTGAGCAGCTTGACGCAATCTTGACATTTTGTTTTAGTATTGACAATGCATTTTCGTGCAACATAGCCCGAAATATGGTAAATGAGCCTGGAGTCGCTTCTGACCACGTGCTGGTTATGGTCACTTGAAGCCTGCGGGCCAGCATTATGCTGGTGTACCATGATTTTTTTGTTTTCTCTTCAGCTGCAGTGGCAGCAGCAGTTTGACTGCACTCCTCTCTATCAGTTGATGATTCGAGCGAGTCAACTTCCAGCAAGGAGGCCAGGGTACCCTCCTCGCAGTATCCATTGCTAACAGACCTAACCAGACCATAAAATGAGAGGCAATTCACAGTGATTAGGAACTGTGTTGGAGTCGGGTGATCGTTATTGCCAGAAGCTTGTCTTACAATTCCGAAGAAATTCTCGAGTGGGTCCTGGCCGGTCCTTGATGTCATTAGGTACTTGTATCCAACCTTGGATGTCAAGTAGGCAAGCAACTAGAGAGTGCTTGAAATGGTGACACGCAAGCCGGCTGCTGTGGAGTCACATAAAAATCCACCAGTTCCTTTGGCATGCCTTTCCCACTGATCAAGGTACGACAGGAAGTCCTTCAGGGTTTCTTCTTTCAAGGAGCCTGGCCGGAGAGCTTCAGCAGCATACCGTGATGTCATCACTGATATCAACTGGCTCACCTTGCTGAAAAAATAGAATAAACAATATTGCTTGAATTCTTGTTGACATGGCCTCTCGGATTACAGCCACCGTCATGCAGTCGAGCAAAAAACTGCCAACTCCTTCATTTTCACTTTAAGGAATGTTTACTAAAAACATTCTATAAGCTGGCTGGCAGGGAGATTGGTTAGTTTGGGGCACGGTGTTGTCTGGGGTGAAGGCCTCGTCAGGAGACATACGGGTCATCTTTTGCCTAAGCTCGAGGACATAATTCACATTGTGTATTTATGTCTAAAATAACGAAGTGAATTGAATTAAATAGCGGTACAGTTACCTGAAGAATTCCTGGGTGGCATTGATGGTTCCAAATATCTTGTCCAGCTCATTCCTGTAGAGGTGGAAAGCCTGGAGGACTCTCGCACCGAACAGTTGAAACGCGATGCTCACTCTCATTTTTTCAAAGCCATTTGGATTGAGATGGCACTCGGTGATTCCGGGCATAGCCTTGAGGGTCACATTATTGGCATCAATCTTGTAGGCTTCCCTCACCGGCCGAATGCTGACCTGGAATATGATTCCAAGACAAAACCAGACATTTGTTGCGATGCGCACTAGTTGCAGCCAAAATGTAAATGAGCCTGCAAATGTTCGTTGATACCCTTCAGGTTAATTTTCCCCAAATAAATAAAGCCCCACGCACAATGTAAACCCTCCAATGATCGACAAGCAACAGGAAAAGTAACTGCCCTTTAGGCAAATGGTCCCTACTGCAAAACGAATTTTCGAGAGGAATGAACAAATCATATTGCATTGTACTGTTAAACGAATAGCTCGACACTGAAAAACTAGGCAAAATATGCAGTTATTAAAAGAGGCGATACATGTTACACATGCAGAAGCTTACATGGCCAGCTGGGGTGTTGAAGCCGCTCTTCAACAGGGAGTTCCGGAGGCATTTGATTAGATGAGGAAAGTCTGAGTTGAAGAACAAGTGCCGCTTTGGGTCAGAAGGGTGCTGGACCTTGCACTTAATCGAACTAGCAGTTGCATGTATTCCCATCATCCTCCACATCTTTCGATTCCAGCTTGCCCCATCAGTTGTTATGAAATCGACAAAGAGCCCACTTTTTTCTGCTAGTATTGTGGCCTCTACAACAACCTTGGCGAGAATATCTGCTTTCATGTTGCCATTCGTTGCGAAGCACCCTATGACCTGACTCCATTTTCCTTGGAATGGAACAAAAAGTACCACCATACCATGGTCAGATGGAGTGCTCTTGTCCTTTTGTGTGGTAAATGGGCCCAAGTCTACAAAGCCTTCAATTGTACCACTGCTCCTAACAGACAAGCTCTCAGAAAGTTTCAGCTTATCGATGAGCGATCCCCCGTGCCTCTTGCTGACGTCGAGCTCCGCTGTTTTACTATTCAATTTCTTCAGGATTTTCTCATTGAAGCCAAAAAGTGTACGGTAAACAGATACATAACGTTTCAGAGTTGATTTGCTTGGCAGGGCAAGAATTTTGTTTTTACGCAAGTGTTCGCACAAGCGGGGACCCTTGATTGATTGATTGATATGTGGGGTTTAACGTCCCAAAACCACTATATGATTATGAGAGACGCCGTAGTGGAGGGCTCCGGAAATTTAGACCACCTGGGGTTCTTTAACGTGCACCCAAATCTGAGCACACGGGCCTACAACAATTCCGCCTCCATAAGCGGGGACCCTTCATCTTCATTATGATGCAGTCGAGAAGCCAGCTCTTGCTGTATCGAAGACCATTAGGTTTCACTTTAGCTGCTGCAAAGCAGTGTTTAACAGCTTCTTGCTGATGGGTAGGTAGGCTCCCAATCTGTTCCTGGAGAACATCTGCATTTTTTGCTGCAGCTTGCTGTTGCAGTTTCGCAAGGCTCTCCCTTGTATCAGAGAGACGGGTGGAAAGGCGCTTATTTCTTCTTACTGCTGTTTTAAATTTCTGGGCAATGTTGAGGCGTGCCTTTGTGTTCCTACGCTGCACTCGGCTTCGGCGTGTCAACAAAGCTCGCCTTAGGTACCGACAGGAGACGCATGGCGTTCCTGAAAAAGACACGAAAGCATGGTAATGCACAGCCTCTTCTACGCTAACAGCGTGATGTGTCATTGTTCAAAAATAAAGAGTGATAATTACCTTCTTTAGGCACCTGGCCTAGGCACTTCCTGCTGAAGTACAGTCCTTGGCGCGTCAACACGTGGTCCCTAAGCTTAGTTGTGAAGAGAGCTTCATCATAGTCCTCGAGCCTCATTGCACCCGCACATAGCTGCATCCGGTCAGTCTTTCGCAACTCGTCCTCGGCCTCCGTTTTTGTATGCACCGGCCCTTCCTTTATCAAAACGCCTCTAGCAAGCACTTTGCAGTATGTGGCACATTGCGACTCTGAAAACATTACCACCTTCTCGGAGAGCACTTCGGCATTAGTGGTCAACGCGGCCGTGCAGTATACAACACCGGCATGGCCAGGGAAACTGTGCTTACTCCAGTATGGTGAAGGCACTTCTAGGTTGAAGTAAAACTGATTCACATTGGCAGATGGTGGAGATGTAGACGCTTGTGGACATTCTTCACAGCCTGCATCAACAGCGTCGTCGGTGTGTGCAAACGCCCCAGACACCGCATTGTCGGAAGGACAGAATGCGGGCTTTAATTGCCCGTCTGAAGATTCCGATCATTTCCTCTTACGAGCGGTCCTCTCTTGTGTCGGCTTTTTACTAAGGTAAGCTGGCAGATTGGGTAGAAGCGTCGGCACAGCATCAGCGCGGAGAATGGGTCTCCCGCGAGGTATCCGCACTTCTTTTCCCTCAATAATATGCACATAGTCTCTGAGCACATAACGCGGCTCGAAGTGGAGCTCGCACACTGCGCTGGTGTCTTCCAGGGGCTTGCCCGCTCTGCGCAGGTTCTTCTCCCATTGTTTACGCCTGTTCTCATCCTTCGGGACGCCAAACAACGACAGCTTCGGCCCACCCTTCACGAACACATAGTCTGTTTGGCACCCAGGCGCGTAGCAGTGGTTTTGCCGATATCGCGGCATGGCTTAGGCACTAAAGAACATACCGATTTCTTGAGTGGTGCGTACGGCTCACAGCCGACGGCAAAAACTCGGCGCTACAATGGCCACAGCAATAGCACGTCGCTCGACAACTGCTGCTGCGCAAGAGCTGGCCAGCACTTTCAGCCGCCACGCTCCCCCAAAGTTCTATTGATGGCGATGCCAGCGCCGCCGCCCGGGCGAAGAGAGAAACACACACTGGCGACGTTTGTGGAGCCACCCCACCGCACACCCTCCGCCGGGGAGCAAGCCCACTGCCCTCTTCTAGTACACTGTAGCATGGGCTTGTGGCTGGGTGGATGGTGTTTATGACAGTACGACTGAAGAAAAATAATCGCGTAAGGTGTGTTGAATAAATTGTTTTTATGTATAAAGAACATACCTAGTTTGGGCGTATAATTATTATTTTGTGAAAACAATTCTGTTGCATTGATTATAACTGTTTTTTTTTTGCGCTTGCGCTCTCTGACGTTTGATGAGAGCACTAGTTGATTACGTAATCGTGACGCACTTCCTGAGGCCAGGTTTCGTGGAGTGTCCTCTCTTGTCTTCTTCTTTCTCTATGGATGCTCCGCAGATTCCGGGCAGCCCAAGCGCTGTTAACATTAGGTCCGTTCGATTCACCTGCACCGGTCGGAACCAATTCACGGCTGTGCACGCGAAGTTCAGAAATTGTGCAGCGTAAGTTCAGCGGTGCAGGCACAGCACGACACCCGAAACGAATGACGATGTGCCGACAAGGTGCAGGCCTTATTTCTTTTCGCTTAATTTACACCGTTCAGCAAACACTGACCGATGGCAAATCGAACATGCGCACAGTTTATGAGGCGCAAACATCTTGGCAAAACACACCGCATTTGTAGAGGCGGGTACGGCGCCTAAGCCACCTACGTCTATGTGCTGCGTCGTCTGCTCAGCTGCACGCGCGCCTGCACCAAGCCGGCACCGTCAGCGAAGGAGGTGCAGGAAAATCATGAACCGGTGCTGCACCTATCCTGCACCTTTCGAAACGAATGGCAGGGTTCAGCGGTCGTCATTGCTGCACCGCTGAAACGAATGGCAAGGTGCAGCACCTCGTGAACTGGTTCACGTGGTGCAGGCGAATCGAACGGACCTATTGGGTGGTTCTGTTATTCTCGCGCATTCTCACGTTTTCGCCACGCTTATCAACGAATCGGTACTGTAGCGATGTTGCCTGTTGGTCGCTAAAACTACGGTAGGAAGGGCTTTCTATGTTGAATTGTATTATGTAAAGCCAATGGGTTAGACGCATCGAGAGGTGCTTCGCAATGACAGGGTGTTGTGCGCCGAACTGTCACAACCGCAGTGGAATTGGCAAGGTGCTTTTCGCGGTGCCACGAGCAAAATGTGCTGCGCAAGTACGCCGCCGACTCCAGTGGCTTCTGCGGATGGGCCGTGAGAAGCTGCCTCCGAAAAGAGCTAGGCTATGCGAGGTAAGTTGCATTCGGTCTTTGTGAAAGTCGTTACTGTATTCATTAACAGCGCACATGAGCATTCACTCTGTGTGCGTGTATAGGTAGAGGGGTTGTATTGTGACCATTTACGGGCTGTGTTCAATTTTCCTTATGTACTATCGCTGACTGCAAGTTTATTAAAGTTGTTGCAGGGCCATGATAAGAATTAGCAGCGTCATACGATCGTGTAGCCGTTGTGTCGAGCTCGCCCGCCTTCGTGATGAGCATGGTTGTCGTTTCTGTGCTTATGAGCTATTTGCTTTGGTGTATTTTAGTTGCGTTGTCTTCTTTGTTTTTGTTTTGTTTTTAGTGGACGTTTCTTTGTTTCGAATCAGAAATTGCAACAAAATGCATGTTGTTGCTTGCCTCGGGAGTAATTTACGTTATCGGCGCAGCATTGACGAAAATTATTGGCTATTTAAAATCGCCTAATGAGCTGCTATCTTAGCATGTGTATAACAGTTATTAGAAACGAATTGCAGTGTCACATATACCTCAGCCTTGGCATTTGACTGTAGCTTCGCTATTGTGAATCTGCTTTTCGGGGGCCCATATCAAAACGGTTTTGTTACCTTGATAAGAAGTACTTTGAACAGCAGGGATAACACTGACAAGCTAGCTATCGAGTTGTGAAAAAATGCTAAATTACAGTGGCATGCATGGGCTCACCATGCTGAATTTTTATTACTCTATTAGCCCAACAGTGCTTATGTCTTTGATGCATTGTCTCTTGCACTAATTGTTAATTATTACTCTGTATATCTGGAGGACCACTTCACTCTTGACCAGGTTGAAGAAGATAGTCGAGCAGGAAGGAAACGACTTAAGTCAGCTGCAGTTCCCAGCATTTTCTGTGGTGAAGTTAAATTTAAACAACTCTCAGTGCATTTTGCTAACATTCTAAATTTTATAGCTCACCAGCGTGCCATAGTATCTGACAATGGCAGATCATCATTGGCTCCTGACAAGAGTGCAGAAGCAGGGTTATCACCATCAAAGCTAGGTAAGTATCTAATGAAGTTCACAATTTATCAAGATTACTGTTATGAATGAATACCTGCCTTGGACCTTCGTATTGTCTTTACGTGTCCCCGTGTTGAAGGCAGACATGGAGATGCAGCAGAAAAGAGCTGCACCTACATTATCTACTGGTGCTAAAGGCTTGTATTGATCTTCAAATGGCATGACACATGGCTGCAATGTTTAGCGTGTTTTATGCAATCTTATATTGCAGGTGAGATGCCAGAAGTATCAGCTACACCTGATATCCCTGCTGCGATGATCCTGGAACATTTATTGATTCCACTGTCGACAGGCGAGTAAATAGGGTACACTTTGAAAAATGGCTTTATAAATAACTTTCAGTTTCATGCTTGCGTAAGGATATTCGCTTCTATTTTTATTTATACTGTAACGGCCACAGAATCAGCATTGCATTCATACTACCGGGACGCTTGCATAAAGAATGTGCTGCTAGTGCACGCTAGCGTTCGGTAGCAGTCAATAAAATACTTCTGAACTTAGCGGTCTGTTGGGTTCACCCGCCGTCTGTTAAAACCGAGACTTTGCCAGTTTGCCACGTGACTCATAGCCACAATACATATGCTCAGTGTATCTATTTTGCCACTCTCAAAGCGCCACTTTTCTAGTACGACAACCTTTGCTGGGTCATTCTTTACACAGATATTCTTGATAATTTCATTCTGTGTTTGGCTTTGCAGGAGTGACCGGAGCACAGCGGTCCGTTGATTGTTCACAGCACTCACCGCCTGCCTCACAAGGTCTTCTCATTACTCCAGCTTTTCATTGGACAAATTTAAGCTAGTTGTAGTTAGGCATAACTATTGTTCTATTAATTTACTCTCATAAATATTCTAGAACATTCAAACTAGCAATTTAAACGTTGTCACAGAGTAATGATATCGGAGCCTAGAGCTCTGCCTTCTGAATGAGTGAGTTACTTCCTTTACTCTAAGCATGCTTATATCGACAAAAGTTTAAATGAAATAAGCTTAATAATGCTGTAATTTAACTTTATATCTCATCAAATATTATGCTCCGATGTGTCGACGGTATGTTCTTTTTGCTTGCTGTTAGCTTGCCTTTTTTAAACTCGGCACAGGGAAGTAAGCCTGCATATATACAGAATAATAAATATATGTCCAGGCATGGAACTTCGTATGAATTATGATTTTGTTGCTCTTATTCAGCAGTAACTATGAGCTGGCTTACTCATGCAAGAGCTGACGTGCTCAGTCTCAAATCAAGTTTTGAATCTGAGTCAAAGTGTGGGTGTGTAATATTTTGGTGAACTTGAGTCTGCTTGAGAAAAATTTTAATGAGTTTGTGAAAGTGAGGTCGAATTGAATAACATATTTATTGTGCGGTGCTATCTTGTGGTGCTACCGACTCAACTCCAGAAATACTGTCAGGTTTACATAGACCCATGTGTATACTCGTCTCTCCACATACTTCAAAACATGCAGAACATGAAAATTTTGTCCAGTGGTAGAACTGTTAGGACAAATTCTGCATTATATGCATTCTTTCAGCAACTGTGATACCTGCCAAGTCCGACAAAGTGCTTGATCTGGAGCGCAGGCTTGACCTGGAGAAGAACCGGCGGCGTAAAGCAGAAAGGGAGAGAGACAGGCTTCGCGAGTCACTTGGCCGTTTGTTTTCTAGGGACCAAATCAATGAACTAGAAAAAAACGAACCATGCGAGGGAAGTTTTGGTCGCCAGCATCGCTTCAAAAGGCGCTCCACGTAAAATTAGCCTGTGGCAGCAAATGATATGAGTTTGTTAGAGAAAACATTGCCCCTTTACCAGCAACAAGAACCCTGCAGAGACACATTGAGCACATAAAGTTCAAACTTGGTAATTATCACTACACTATCATTTCTGAATTATTTAAGACGTCCCCTGAGAAGCTTGGACCACTTAACTTCGAGCAGGTTGATTTTGTAGAGTTTATGAAAAATGAAATAAAATAAAGCTAACCAACAATTTATATGCAGGTATCCTGCATGAAGTTTTTGCAGCCCTGAAAGAGAAGGTGGCTACAATGGCCCCAGAGAAGAGACATGCATGTCTTTAAAGGACGAAATGCAGGTTTCACTTGGGCTTGAATACGACGATATTATAGGTAGGATAACTGGGTTTATCAATTGACTGACTATGCTTTAGGTGGTTATGTTCATGCATTTGAGTGGTCTTTAACTTCATTGATTGTATTTTTTTGTTCTTTCAGGTCAGCCAGCCATGCGCCCTTCAAATGCATCCACAAACGACCAACTTGCAAACCATGCACTTGTTTTTACGCTGGCGGGGTTGACAAGCAGGTGGAAATAAGCCGTTGCTTATCAGCTGACATGTAAGTTGTGAAGCTTCTTTCAATGCCTGTGCCACTTTAAAACATTTAAATTTCCTGGCCCTACATATTTTCTTTACCGCACCCATTGTGCACTGAGGCTGGTTGCTGTTTTTCCTAGAGGTTATATGTCTAGTACCTCCACATAATATGAAATGCAGTTTAGAATATTGCCCTAGCACCTTTGTTCTAGAAAGTTGTGCATATAGGCCACACTTCTGCTAAAATTATTTTTACACAGTTATCTGATGTGCGTTTCCTGATTTTTTCCTTGGTAGCTTCATCTTTTGAGGCAGGGGTAGTAAAGAACTGCCTCTTCGATGTAATTAAGCAGTCTGAAGCTGTTGACATAACAGTCAGCGCTGTTGCGACTGACATGGGACCTGGCAACATGGCCATCTGGCGACTGTGTGGTAAACAAGCTTTAAAGTATGGGAAACCAAAAATATCATACCCCCACCCTTGCCGGAAAGGAAGGCAGCTGTACTTCCTTGCTGATGTTCTCATCTTTTGAAAAATCTCAGAGGTCACCTTACTCGAGGCCAGGAGATAATTCTACATGACACCATTGTTAAAAAAGAGAACCTTCCAAGCAACAAGGTAATCTTAGTGTATTGCCTTCTAGTTTCACTGGCTTGGCTTGGTTTGTGAACACAAGTTGCTCACTGGATTACAGATGCTGTCAATAGTTTTTTATTTGTTAGGGAACGGGCGATACCACGTTGAAAAGGGTTTTTTTTCATTTGAAATTAACTCTGCATACCCTAATGTAGCCACTACGGCCAAGCAGCAACAGCTATTGTAAATGTGCTGTAAACGGCATATTTTTAGTAGTTTAGTAGCGCTGACAGTTGGTATGGATTCATGGTTAAGAACTGCGCAAGAATACGAGACACAAAAGGAAGAAAGCACAAGAACGAGCGCCTTATCTGTTTTTTTTGTGACCACGTGCTTTGATATACAGTCGCCGACCGTTTTTTCGGACGCCGAAAATTCGGACATGCCCGTTTATTCGGACATCTTCATGGCACCGCCACACTCCCCATTGATCCTAATGTAAACTCACGACCGCAAATTCGGACGCCCCACTGTGCGCCATTCGGTTATTCGGACTCCGTTTGACTGACTGGATGCGTCGCCGTATGCCATTACACGCTGAGAGCGACATTAACAATATGTTTGCTAGGTTGCCAGCACTGATATGCTGCACTAGCTATGGATGGATGTCTGGCCAGTGTCAAAATGCACGCAGAGATTGCCATTGCCGATCTCGAAGGCTATGTCTGGCGACGCTTTTTTTTTAGCCAGTCGAGCGGCCAAGCCAAGCCACCTACAGAGTCTGTTCGCTGCGGCGTTTGTCAGCGGTGTCAGTCAGCTGCTTTTGCGGCTAGGCCTGATTCGTCTTGTTGTCTGTGTTCTTGCTCTCTTGCGTGTTCCGTGGCGTGCTGAAATGGCTACAACGCCACCCATTGTTGCGCTGTCGGGAGTGAAGAAATGCGGCCAACGTGGGAGCTACAAGACGCTCACAATGACGAAGAAAGCGGATATAATTCGCCAGGTAGAAGGCGGCCTACTATTTCTAAGCAAACCGTCTTGGAAGCGTGCGTGTGTGCAGACATGACAGTTTTTTCGGGCGATAGGGCCTATAAAAGTGCTTTTTTTTTTTGAGTGAATCCGTTTTTTCGGACTCCGGATTATTCGGACGTTTTGGCGGTTCCCGTCGAGTCCGAATAAACGGTCGGCGACTGTATGTGTGAGTCGAATAACAAAAATTGGTTGAGAGTCCGGTTCCCGTCCTTATGCTTTCGTCATTTTTGTGTCACATGTTC